GGTGGTATATAGTAGGGAGACAGGGGTCAGCCCCAAAGCCCTCGGCCCAGCTCCCCAGCCTACCACACTGCCACACTGCCCAGGCAGGCAGGCAACCTACCTTCTCAGTTACATACTGACAGCGTTTCAAGTCATGGTCCCCATCAGGGAGGATCTCGGGCTCCACGATGGGCACAATGCCATTCTGTGGGGTGAGGGACAGGGTAGTCTTAAGGCCTCCTAACCCAGAGCCCCACCTACAGCTCTCTACAGCCATTGGCTAAGACCTTATCTCCATAACGATAGAGACTCCTGGTTTCACACAGCCCTCAGCAGATTGTAGGAGATTAGGCATCTCTGCAGATCCACCCACACAATCCCTATTTAGCCCTTCTGCTCATAGAGCCCTCAAGTGTCCTTCACTGGCCCAAGCCTGATGCTTGGTGTGGATCCAGAGCAGTTGCCTTGGGGGAGGTGGGTATCCTGGCAGATGGGTGGCAGGCTAGATGGCACTCTGGGATGGAATGAGGTAGGAGGTGGTCCGTTGGGGACCCGCAGGCCCACCTGCTGGCAGATGCTGGCATAACGGGCCAGGACATTGGCGTTTTCCATGATGGCGAGGGAGGAGGGGGTGTGCTCCCCGATCTTCAGCACACAGCGCCACTTGGCAAAGTCAGCTCCGTCCTTCTTGTACTGGGCACAGCGCTCAGACAGCCCATCCAGCCCTAGAGAGGGGATGGAGGGGTCAAAGCATGGCAGAGGAGGGGGCAGGTGGTTCCCACCACCCACGGCACCCAAAAGGGTATCAATCTGGGTAGGCTGGTTGGTAGGGTTGGGAGCTATAAGGTTCTCACCTTGGGTGGTCGTCTCGCCGTTTGTTCCTGCCAGGGGTACCACACCCTTGTCTACCTGTTGGGGTGGGGAGTGACAACAAAGTACAAGGAAGTGATCTCTAGTACCCTTTTCCCTTCTACAGTTCTGCTCAACTTTATTTCCTCTCTTAAATATCTTTCCTGGTTTGCAAATGTTTTACTGAGTCATAGTATCCGATCCTATAAGGCTGGATACACAGAGAGCTTGGGCTCCTACCACTTACTAACTCTGTGGGCAAAACACGTCACAGCCTTGAGCTTCTGGTTTTTCATTTGTATAGGGAGGATTCACACCTGGCTCTTATGAGCACAGGATTAAAAGAACTATGCCAGTACCCATAAGTTTCTAACTTTTCTTACACACAATTTGTTGGTGATCTGGGGAAGACTCCACCCAAGTCCCCAGACTCCCAACCCAAAGTTCATCCTCCAGCCTGGTACGCTGGATTTCTTTCCCCCAGCTCCATCTCACATCTTACATCCTGAGGTCCAGCCCCCTCACCTTGATGCCCACAACACCACCTTTGGCTTTGATAACTTGGGGGAAGGGACGCCCATCATCTGCCTTCTGGTAGAGTGTCTCATGGAAGAGGATGACGCCACCAATGCAGGGGTTCACGCGGTCGTCGGCTGTCAGCAGCAGCTGGCGGTAGAAGCGCCGGTTCTCCTCGGTGTTCTCAGTGCCAATGGACTGCAGTCGCTTGGCAATACTCCCTGAAGGGAAGCATCACATGGGGATGACGGGATCAGCCTATCACCCCTAACTCTGGGCCCTCCTCCCACTGTGTCCTGCCCGCACCGGTGGACTCATCTGCAGCCAGGATGCCCTTGCCCGGAGCCACGATGCGGTGAGCAATGTCAGAGAGCTCCTTTTTCTGCTCCGGGGTCAGTGCTGGGTATTGGTGGGGCATGGTGCCTGTCGGTTCCTGGGCAGAGGAGACAGATGGGGGAGGACTAGTCAGCAGGGTCTTCCCGTGGTCTCCCAACAAGCAGGGCCCCTTGCCTGGAGGTCAGGGCCAAGGTTCCCTACCTCTCTGCCCCACACCTGGCAGGTCTTGGGGCACTTCCTGCCCCCAGCTCTCCCCTATACCCGACTTCCCTATACTAGGCCTGCCTCCTGTACCTTTCCTAACTCTGTTGCTGGGTGTTGCCCAGCTGAGGGTGGGGCTGTATACTGGCATCTGGGGTAAAGGAATAGGCCAAAGCCATGGACAGGCAGGTCATGTGGAAGCTGGACCCTTCTGGCTTGCGCTCTGCCATGGGGTCACCTTGCCTGGAAGCAAAATCAAACCAGAGTAGTTTAGAATTAGAGGTTGGGTAAGGCAGAGGGCCCAACCCCCTCACCCAAAAGAAGCCAGAAAAGGGAAGAAGTCTGTGCTTCAAGCCACACAGCAAACAAACCAGGGGCCAGATCAGAGATTACAACCCAGATCTTCTGACTGCCACAGGAGTGTTCCTTCCAATCCACCCAAGACCCCACGGCTGGCCCAGGCTCCATGACCTCAAGGACACCCCAAGGTCAGACTCCCCCCCTGGGGTGGGGGGAGGGTGCTAGGAAAAGGGTGTTAGGAAAAAGGTAGGAGGGTAATCAGAAGCCCAGCAGAGGAAGCCTAGCCCGAGGTGGAGGACAGGGGTGAGTTTTGCCGTTCTCACTGCTCAGACAGGGTTAAGTGTGGCGGAGAGACAAGCACCCCACCCCTTCCCCTGAAAAATGCTCTGGTCTGCTCCACAGCTGCAGCTGTTCCGGGCTCAGAATCAAGGTCACCCGATAAGAAAAAATAGGCGAAGTGTTAATGGGGCATCAGGCGCTGCCAAGGGGTTTCCCTTACTCGCCAGGGCCACCCGTCTCCCAGGACAGGGGCCAACCAACCCGTTTTTGGGAACCCTGAGAGAGTATATGAGCTGCCTCTTAGGATCCCTGTAGAGGCAAAGGGCCATAACAAGGGTCCCAACAAGAAAAGGGGAGGGGGAATGGCCGTTCATCTTCTTCTGCTTCCTCCCGGCAGTGACTCAGCGCGGAGCGGCCGCTGCATTGCGTAGCAAACCAAGGGAGCTCAAGCTGAAAGAGTTGGGTAGTCTAGTCTGGGAGCATACGCGTGGGTGGTGGTGGAAGTGAGAGATGCTGGGGCCGAGTGGGGGGCTCGGCGCCGACGCCCGCCCCGCCACTGCCCCTAGGACCCTGCTCCATGACCCTCTCCCTGACCTTCGCACGTGGCGAGGGGCGCTCACCTTGCACAAGAGAGGGGTGGGTTGGCGGGGTGTAGCGGTGGAGGACCGCGGGTCGGCGACTGGACTGAGGGAGCGAACGCGGCAGTCGTCACCAGGACTCTGGTTCTGCGGCGCGTTCCAAGCGGAACGCAGCCTATTCAGCTTCCGAGAGGGGGGCGCAGGGGGGCGGGCGTAGGTGGTGCCCCGCCTTATAAAGTCACCGCTCCACCTTCGGCAGGGTTTTTCCCTTCGCAGGGGGCGGGAGGCTCCCCGGCGTCCAATAGCAGGCGAGGAACTAGGGGAGAGGCCGTCCCCCGAAAGGCGAAGCCCGGAGGCGGCGCTTGGGCTGGGACAGATCCCCGAGAACACGATCCCTCCCCACCGTCGCCCTCGGACGTGACTCGGGCCACATCCCGCGGGTCGTCTGGGCCCTCCCCTCCCTCTCTCCTCTTCTCCCCCGACCCCCCCACCCCCCCCGGCCTGGCATACTCT